ATATATATATATATATATATATATAGAAAATAATATATATTGTAGGGTTCTTGATTCCCTGACTCTGGCAGCTTTCTCCCGTCCGGGAAATTGGCTTTTCCAATTCCCCCACTCTTCCCCGTCTGGAGCATCAGACCTGATACCGTCGACTCTATAAAGTAATAGTATTGAGAATAGTGTTGCTTTCATTTTAGGTGGGAGAAAGGCGCTTATTTAAACAACCATTAAATTTAACATTTAGTATAATTTAGCATTATTCCCCATCAGCCCTTGGCATATTTTGATTTGGATCAATGGTCACGAAGAAAGGTATAGGCCTACTATTCAATTAAGTATTGCGGACGCATAAATAAAGCTAAATGTTCTGATTTTAAAGAAGATAGAGAGTAATTAATGTGATCTACGAGTATTTTAATGATGGAATCGGTAGTTCGAATGGAGGAATTATTGTCTTGCTTAAACAGTTTGTCTACCACCTCCCCATGCTACAATGTAGCTTGCAACAATAAAAATCCTGATCATTTTACTTGTAAATGCTTGCATAATTCTGAAAATGTTGTATTTTTAAAACGTTCATAAATTTATTTTAAAGAATCCAGACCCCTCCCTCATAACTCCACCCCGTCCCGTTTTCATCCACACCCCGACAAAACACCCTCTCTAACAAGGCTTGACGAATAAAACACTTCTTATGGCTACTAAATTCATCAATAGCTCAATGGGAACTGTGTTGTGGCTAAGGAGTTCCTTTTACTGCTACTGTGATTTTTCTTCAATTTCTTCAGTACTTTTGAAGCCCTATTGCTCAGAACTTTATAGGCCCGTTTGTAGAGAATAATTATATTTCAAAACTATCTCAACTTTACACATAATTGTCCGATTAATGTCATTGAGCCCTCATGATAAAGTTAATGATGTGCTCTATTCATTTACATAAAAAAATACCATTTTGGTAGGTTACGAGTTTACAGCCCTTTTCTTATCTTGGGTCACATTTGCTCAATATGGTAATACATGGTACAACACAAGATTTAAATATTTCACTCCATTCACTTTTTGTCAAATTGTTCAGTCTTATGAACACATTCTTAAATATGTATCTCGCTTAGGAATACAACAATTAGCCTTCTTAAACCGCCTCCTTGTAGAGCTGAACATTTCAAATATTCATTTCTTCCATATTCTCTAAATGTCTATCCGTCTTCTGCCAACAATTCCTCCATTTCTACTACTCTGCTACATTGATCTATTGTTGAATTTTTTAATGATTTTTTTGGCGATTGCAAATATATATTGATGAATGTAAATGTAATCTTTCTTGTATGGCAGATAATAGTTGACTGATGGCTTTTGGAGCAAATTAAAATTTAATTGAAAGATTAGACATTAGAAGATAAAAAAGCTACTATGGGAATATGCTAGTGTCAGTTGAAAGCCTTTTAGCAGGTTAAACCTAATTCTGCTTTGTCCAACTGTGTTTGATTATCAAGTCTTTATTCAAGTTCCTGTAATTATCTGATTTTCTAGTGCAAAGAAACTTATGTAGGATTTTATAAATAATAATAATAATAAGAAGAAGAAGAAGAAGAAGAAGAAGAAGAATAATAAGAATAATAATAATAAGAATAATAATAATAACAAGTTAGATTTATGTAGCACTTAACGCCAACAACGCCAACAAGCGCTTCACATTACTACCCCCGGTCATTGGATTAAATGCCTATGAAACACGAACTCAAGCTACCTGGGGGAGTATTCCATAAAGTTGCAGCAGATACATCAGCGTATTTTGGCATTTAACCCTACCAGGTACCCATGTATACTGGATGGAGAAAAGCAGTGCAGATACGAGGGGTTAAATCCATCTTCGGGGCAGAAAAACAAATGATTATTAACGTATCCGGCCTTCATTTTTAAGTTGGCCTTGAGACTGGTATGTTGGCCGACA